GCTTTGGTATTCACGATGAAGAGATGTGTAGTGTCTCATGTCCCTGAATCCTCCCCAGGAGGAGCAGGCAGGTTTAAAGCTGCCTTCTGGATCTGACAATGCTTTTCTTTTTGCTCACCTACTCCTCAGACCATCAGCTCTGAGCGGTCACAGTCAAAGGGCTGCCCTGCTGTGCACAGAGAAAGGGGGGAAAATAGTCATGTTACTGACTGAAAGGCATCCCCTCCCTCTTGTTTAACAATGTGATATTCCCCCACAAATGTGTTTTCCTGAACAACACCTGAAGAAAAGACAGACAAGATCACCAGAAGTTTGTCTCTTTTCCACATACCACCATTGGGTATGTAGATCAGTGAGACACAAAGCTCTGCAGGAGTCAAGAGCTGGAGGCAGGGCTGCAAATGCTGACAGGTCAGAGTCTTTCTGCAGCTGGGAGCAATGGGTGTAGGGGAGGGAAGGGCAGTCTCCTTCAGCTGCTGAGGAACTGGCATATTTTCTACTTGACTGCACCCCTGCATGTTCCTTTGGCTTACAACAGGAATTGCTTGTTCCTTGCCTGTGTGTCGTCCCTGTGCCTGTCCAGGCACAGGTTTGCATGAGACCTGGTATAAACCAAGTTTAAATGATCATCCTGTGGAATTACCGATATAAAATTTAATGTGGTATTTTTACCTTCAGTCCTTGCAGTTACTGGAGTGCAGCTTAAAAGCTGCATTTATTGCAGACATTTATTTTTATTAAGAATGGATCTTTGCAGTCCATCAAAGACACTCAGCTTGGGAGGAAATGCACCGTAGCTCCCTCTGCTCTCAGCTGAGGGAGCTTCCAGCACGGTAATTTCTGTTGTTAATTGTACGGCACACACACCAACACGTGGGGCAAGGCATGGATGGTGTGAAGCATGGGCTGTGAGAAACATCCTACAGCTCACCAGCACTGGCCTAGGGAATGTTTTCTCCCCACCCCTGGCATCCCAAGGGGTGCTCATAAGGATCCTCTGAAGTCACAGCTGCTCTGCTGCTCCTGGAGGGAATGAGACCTCGCCCTTCCTGCAGTGCTTGCCCAGGTGTCAAGAGGGCAGAGGTGTTTCCCTGCTGCCTCCTCTCTGGGACCTGATGGGGCAATGTGGAAGGCAGGGTTAGAAATTGTATTTCCAAATGACAGTGTTTGAGAGACGAGTCAGGAGAGGTTACCCTGTGCCTAGCCCTGCATTAAGTGATGAGAAGCCATAAATGCAGTTTCCTGCTGTTATTTTTAAACTAAGAATACAAAAGTGGTGGACCCAGGTCAGACTGAAGCTGCACCATCCTTGGGCATCCAAAAGCTAGTGCCTTTGGAAAAGTACAAGGACAGGGCAAACACACACCAATTTCCCTGCCAGAGCATTCCTCTGAGCTATTTGCACAGTGCTTTCCTGAGCTGAGGCACTGCCTTTGTTGGTAGCCTGTAATTTGCTTCCTTGAATTTGCCCTTAAATTTCATCAAACTCTCATGACTTGGCTTGAACTCACCAATCTTTCCAGCCCTGAGCTGTGGGTCAATCCCAGGCTGTGGCACCAGTCAGAGCTGCCCTGGGAAAGTAATTTCAAGGTAATGCCCTGATTTTTCTGGGGGGCAGTCAGACAAGCCCCTGTGTCCCTCTGACCTCTCTGGCCAACCTGCAATTTGACTGTGTGTTTTTGCAGCCTGCCCAAGAGCTTTCTCCTGGCTGCCAGGGAAGGTCTTGCTGTGACCCCTCTGTCAGGCAGAAGCAGTTTCTGTGTGCCTGCTGCCCTCCCCTGCTGCTGGGGAGCACCTTTGCCTCACGGGATCTGCAGCAGTGTGACAACAAATGCCCCCAAAAGCACTCACATTTCCCTCAGCACACAAGAAAGGAGAATCAAGTCGTGGTTGGGCTTGTAATGAAATGTAATTACAACAGCTTGTATGCTGGAGTTGACAATGTCTTTGCTGTATCAAATCAGGTATGTTACACTGAGATCCTTTTGTGCATAGTTCATCTGGGTCTTGTGTGTCAGCTTCTCACATGTGGTGAGGAGCTCTAAGAGGTTTTGCCATAGCATGGTGTCACCAGTATTGGGAGGGCAGAAACAGCACAAAAAACTGTGATGGTTAGAATTTAGTGCATTTCCTGACCACCACGTATTTAATACTTCACCAGCTGCAAAAGAAAGCAACATTTCAGACAAAGAAGTGCTCTGGGTCAGTACCTCTTGTTTTGGGGGTTGTTAACTCAGTTTCTGAGGTGCCATCAGCTACTTTTACCATCAGAGGAGAATATGATACAGACAGTGCATTTGGTGCTCCCTGCAGGTGCACAGCCCCTCTCTCACAGCCCCACGGCCACCAGTGGTCCTCCTGCAGGAACCACTCCCTTCCCCAAGCAGGGAGCAAACCTGGGCTGGATTTGTCTTCCTCAGCCTCCACCAAGCTCCTCTGCAAAGGTTTATCTTGCCAGGTTTTGTTTAAAGCAGACCAAAGTGCAGAGGCTGCAGCACTGGGCTTTCAGTGTGTTTTGGTGCCAAATCCAGTGTAATTGTTGCATTTCCTTTCCCTGCTGAACTCCCTGCCTACAGACAGCCTGTAATGTAAGATCCTGGGAATGTTTTGTTTTGGGAGGTGGAAGAGACACCGAGGGTGTTTGTCAAAAAGCGCTGCAGGGAGGAAAATGAGCACTGCTGAAGACAGAAGGAAAGCAGTGATGTTCAGGATAAACTGGGCCTTTCCTTTTAACTCCTGCTGTGGCAAGCCTGATGATTTTAACCCTGAAAGGACACTCTCTGCACTCACATGAGACTTTTCTTTAGTAAAAATCAGAGCCCCATGGCAGGCTTTCATGGGGTTCCCAAGCTGGCTGAGCATGCCTGGAGAGTGAGTGCAAGCACAGTGCCTCTGGACAATATGGTAAATCAGTTTGCTCTGCTCTGATGTTTGACATTCAGTGTGTGCTTGAGAGTTTTAGGCAGGTGGGGTTGAAGACTGGAAATGTTGTAACCAATCTAGAAGTTCCATCATATATAGTAGATCTATCTGAACAGAGCAGATACCCCTAGCATTATTGAAAACACACAGATTTTAAGATATTGCAAATAAATGCATTCACTGGAAGGTAGGGCTGGGAGCCCTTTTTTTTTTTTTTTTTTTTTTTTTTTTTTTAATCATACAGGAGATTGTGTCAACTACAGACTGGATGATACCATAAAAGTGGGTTTCTTTTTGGTTAGCCACACTTACAGGGTTTTAATAGTACTGGAAGGTAGGGCTGGGAGTCCTCTATTTTTTTATCATACAGAAGATTGTGTCAACTACAGACTGGATAATACTATAAAAGTGGGTTTCTTTTTGGTTAGCCACACTTACAGGGTTTTAATAGGCACAATGTACTTGCCTTTGAAACAAAGAAGCCTCCAGCTGCAGATACTTCACCAGAGGCCCCTATCAAGTGGTACCCTTCCCACTGTGTGAGTGAGCAATCCTGATTTCATTCCCAGCAATACCAGCTCTGGTCACACTGGGTTCTGAAATTGTGGAATTTGAAGTGCTCTGAGAAATTTGTAGGTTTTATAGTTTATAGATTTTGTAAAAAATTGTAGTTGTTTGTAGTAATAAACACACCTTTATTTGCTTTATGTAGAGAATGCTCTTGAACCACACCTTTAGGTTTTCTCTGAAGCTGGGAGAGCTATGAACCTGCTCTGTAAAAAAAACCAACCAAACAAACAAACAAAAAAACCCCAAAAAAACCAGAATCTTTAGGTTTTCTCTGAAGCTGAGAGAGCTATGAACCTGCTCTGTAAAAACAAACAAACAAACAAAAAAACCCAAAAAACCCCAGAAAATCCCAGGAAGTCTTCCATTATCACTGGCCTGAGGGAACACAATTTTGACAACACTAGCCATTGCAAGGTTTATCATAAAAGTATGAGAATTGCTTGGGCCTTTGTGTCTAGCAATGCATGCAGGCAGTGCTGGGACTACTATTCTGCCCACATGCAGGAAATCAAATCCCTGGACAAAACAACATTTGGAAACATATTGCTACAGCTGGTTTGTTTTGGTTTTTTTTTCAATTAACCTTTGTTCTTTGGTGACCCTTACAAGAAGCTGTGAAGGATGCTGTATATTCTCTTGGTATTGTGTGTATAGCTGTATATTTGTTTTCTTTATTAAAATCTGGGCAGAGGAAAATGGACCAGACTCTACTCCATTACCCCTGCTCAACTTCAGCAGCTGCATGGAGCTGTGGTGCAGTAACTGTTCATGGAGTACATCCAAAAGCCCACTACTAACATGCATGGTAACAGATGTTATAAAATTGCAGAGAGGAAATGTTTGACCCCCTAACTTGGCTACCTCCTGCTGGCAGCCTCATGGCCCAGTCCAGCCTCCCCACCCAGGAGTGCTGTGGATGAAGAGGAGGAAAGTCCATTCTGATATTAGTAGAACTTCTGAGGTGAGGCAGGATTTGCAGAACCACAGAATTTGTGAAAAAAATCAGGTTGGCAGGGGCTTTAGGAGATCATCTACTCAAAATCCCCTCTGACTGATGGCTGCAAGATCAAGCCTTCATCACACTTAACTGCAGGATGCAGGGTCGAGGTAGTATCCCCAAGGTTGTGGGATTCATCTCTTGGATGTCTGCAATAGAAGCCTCACCACCTGAGCAACTCCCTCTATTGTACTCCTGGTCAGGAGAGAGAAATAAGAAAGATAAGGGTTTTGTGGTCAGGTGAAGATGAGGCTGTGGTCAGGTGAATCCCACCCAGCGTCGTACATGTGGGGTGTGTTTCTTGCTGCTTTGTGAGCAATGGTAAGAGGAAAAATGACAGCATTGAGAAAACTGCCTTGGGATAAAAAAAAACCAAAACAAAAAACCCCAAAACAATAACAAAAAAAACTCCCAAAACAGAAACAACCTAAAATGAAAACTAATTTTTTTTTTTTTCAAATTTTCTGTCTTCTTAGGGCAGATGAGCCACCCACCGTGCCTGGACCCCAGCCTGGCTGCTGGGGAGATGCAGTCCCCCAGGATGGCAGGGAAGAAGCGAGGGCGGCCCCCTCTCCAGCCAGCACCCATCAAAATGGCTGTTCACAACCTCTTCTCAGCACCACCAGGTGCTCTGCCAGCCATGAAGATCCCAAAGAAGAGAGGGAGAAAACCTGGGCACAAGGTAGATGCATGGCTTTCACATTCCTTCTCCACCTCCTGTTGGTCTTCATACATTTTCTTCTGGAATTTCAGCTGAAATGCAGGAACAGAGGAAAAGTTGTGCAAGTCTGGGGCAGAGCAATGCAAAGAAAAAAGAGAAAAAAAAACAAAAGAGAAGATGGTTTCTCTTCTATGTGAGCTGGTGGAAAAAAACACAGAATTGTAGAGTATTCTAAGTTGAAGGGGACCCATCAGGAACATTCAGTCCAACTCCTGGTCCTGCACAGGACACGCCAAGAACCACATTATGTATATTTTCCCATGGGTTAAAGTTATTTTAATTTGGTCCGTTTGAAAATGTTTTCCACAGTGTTGTGTGGGATGGCTGCACACCTTCAGGGAAGGGTTTCTCATTTGTCACTTTCCTTTCTCTCACTAACAGTGATTAGAAATTGAACAAACTGAAAAGAGAAGGAAAGGAACACAGGAGAGTGGAAATAAAGGGAGGGGGGGAAAAAAGCTACTTTCCAAAGGAAAAAAGAAAAGAGGGGCATTTGAGAAAAATAATGGTATTTTACTTTATTTGTCTGCTCACTGCCCAGCTCTCTGTGGAACCTTGGGGCAAAGGCAGAACTAAAGAAAGCCAGGATCCCTTAGTGCCTTAAGCCCTTGTGATGCTGCTGCTGGGCTGGGTCTCTCCCACCACACCACCTGCAGTGGGCTCAGCACTGCAGTGGGAGTAGTGCCACTGTGATGCCCCACACCAGGCAAAAATGGCACTGTGATGCTGAGGGAAGGAGAATTTGTTCTGGGGAGTGAAACTGGGCCACAGCTCAGTAAGGGGTCTTGTGTTCATCAAGTTGCTCTGTTAATGTCTCTGTCCCCAGCCAGCTGGGGCAGTGTGCATGCTTGCTATGTCTGTTCCTTGTTTTCAGTGGGCACTGGTACAGACATGCAGACTGTTACACAAGGAGGGCACTTTGCTGACTGTTGGAAAATCACAGCTGCTTGAGCTTGTGGTTTCAAGACAGAAAAGTGAATAAAACAATCTTCCCTGGAGAAGGTCTTGTCCGGGGTGTTGCCTGGCTCTTCCAGGGCTCTCTCCTGGTTCATAGGAGGAAGAAACATCCCGTGCATGGTGCTGCTGGCTGAGCTCTGGACACAGGGACCAGCTGTTTGATTGCTGTCATCCTCGGATTTGAGCTTAATCTAGAGCAGGCTACCCTCATCTTTACCTTTCCCTCCTTTTCACCTCCTGCCAGACCTTCTTCCTCCTATCCCCTAACCTCTGTCTAAAAGTAGTCCACAATAGAGCTCCAAGCTAAGACTGGGGCAAATATTCAAGTGTTTTGTAAAATGTGGGACATAGAAATACTTTTTATTTTTTCATTTCCATATCAGGATAAAACTCCAGGATGGAAACATCTGAATTGCTTTACTTGGGGTATTTCTTATTTCAAGTTTATTATTTATTATATTTATTTATTTCAAGTAACTTAGTTGTTATCAGTAAAGCTGGGTGACTTGCAGACTGTTCAGGTCAAAACCACCCAGTGTGGACAATAATAATTTGGAGATGTGCTGAAATGGGGTCTTTGAGGTTTGAGATTGATTTGCCAAATACCACAATGACCTTGTACGCAGGGTTTTTCAGACCCTGTCCCTGCTTGTCTTGGTGCCCCTCACTTCTTGCTCATGCATTTACATTTGATTTGGAATTTGACCAAAAAAAAAAAAAAAAAAGAAAAAGAAAAAAAAGAAAAAAACTGGGGAATATGTTCTGTTTTATCCCAAATGTACCCATCCACCTGGAAAAAACTCTATCACCAATTGCCACACATATATAAATGGGAGAAGTGGTAGACCTAAATTCCTGGAAATGCTGCAGTAACACAGTGCTTTGGATCTATGTGGCCAAGCATTTGCTTGCTGTATCCCCCACTTCTTCCAAAGGGACACCTTATCCCTGGCTGGGTACCACGCTCTCCTCCTCTTTGTCCCCAGGCACTTAGGGAGGAGGGAACAGCATCCCTCCTTCGGCAGTGGATCTGAGATGAGGCTCTTTCTTGGTGAGCATGGCACATAAAAAGGCATCCTTTTGTAACCAATGGCTCAGGTGGATGGGGCTGACACTCCTGAGCTGCAGCACCCACGGCTCCTGGCCTGGCTGATTTGTGCTGTAGGACTCATACACCAAAGCAATGTTTTCCGTGTATTCCCATGTATGCTGTGTGCTCAGCTGAAGTGAGCCCCTCTCCACCCAAAGCACTTCCCCAGTGTGAGTCAAAAATTACATTTTTTGATGGGGAGCTCTAGCTTGATTTAATTAGCTCGATAATTGTGTGAGTTTCAGATACCACAAGACTTGAATGCATTTTAAAAAATGACTCCCTGCCCAAATGGCAGACGACCAAATTCTTTATAGCAGCCAGCGAGCTGAATTGTTACAGAACAGATGGAAAAATACTTCTGAATTTTTAAGAAACTAGGAATTTACAGCCTAGATTTAAATTTATTTTGACCAAGATGTGAATAACAGACATTTTCAATCACATGCTCTTTATAGACAGGTGACCCATTGCCTGTTTTCATTGATATTAAAGGAAATATCTGTGTCTTCCTGAAATGACATTTCATCACACTTCATCACCAAGAAAAGTCCTTTCCTTGCTATCCTGTTTATTTTTTCACAGCTTTGGCTGTAAAATTTCATCGGCTGTTTTTCCAAAAACTGTTTTCTACCTTATGTGGAGCTATTTGCCATAAAATGTTACATATCCCCAAAATACAATATTCTTTCTGATTGTCTAAATCTCTGGGAAAAAGCCTGTTCTGGCAGCCAGGGGGGAAGGTTGCGTGGATGGATGGGTTTTATTTCTCTGGCTGTGAGTGAGGGCAGCCCTGAAGAGCTGCCTAGAAAGGCTGTAAGAGGGAAGGGGCTGGAGCAGCCTGCAGGGGTTTGCCCTGTTAGAGGACATCGGAGGGACACGCGCATGGGGCAGCACCGCGGCACAGACCATCACGTCCCTCCCAGAGGGAAACAAAGCCACGGCACCCTTTGGGCAGCTCGAAGGCAGTTTGTCCCTCTGTGCAACCAGTGCAGCTCCCACCTGGGGAGGTGGCCCCAGCGCAGATCAGCCGGGTGGGGTGGGCAGTGAGAGTCGCACGTGTGGAGTGACAGTTCCATTACGGGGCACAGGCTACCCTGCTGCCCTGGAAGTCAGTGCTAATGATGACAAATAAGCAGTCAGGATTTGGACACATTGGGAATGAGATTGCACAGACAACCTTAAGGTGTCCTGTTTATTCACCTGTCCTACGGATTTCAAGGTTGTATACCCTCCTGTCAAGGTTACCTGCCTCATTCCCTGTGAAACGCTGATGGGATGAAGGAGGCTGTGTGCAGACTCGCACCATTTGCTGTGCAGAAGAAAGTTATTGCACAACACAAGAAAAAAGGTGGGAAAGACCTTGGGCTGTGTTTGCCTTTGCCAGCTGACCTCCCCTCTTACCCTCAGTGACTGGGCTTGTGTTATGCTGAGTCTCCTCACTCACAGCCAAATGCACAGAGCCACGGACCCCAACACATGTGCTCAGAAGCTCTGTGCTTCCCTGGTGTATGTTTAATGGCAACTTTCTGTCCAGCCATCAGAAGTCCACGTGGCAGGACCAGGCTGGCTCAGACACTCACCTTTACTGCACATTTGCAGGGGCTGGAGATGGTTCTCTCTCCAGCAGCAAAAGCTCTCATTGCCTGGAGGTGCCTCTGCCTCTGCCTCTGTCTGGAAGGACAAAGGTCCATGGGGATGGGGTGAATCCCAGCCTTTTCTAGCAACTGTTTTTTCAGGACAAGGGACAGCTGGTACAGGGGAACAAGGAGGGACAAAAACGAGAACTTGCATCTAAGCGGTTTAAGAAAACTGCAGGGAAAGATTGTATTGTGGTTCATCGTGTTACTTTCCCATGTATTTTATTATACAAGCTGGCAGAGATCTTCAGAAAGAAAAAAAGTTGCCTGGCAAATGTTCTTCACCCTCTTTCATTTTTTTGGTGGGGGATGACATAAATACCAGTTAGATGAATCCTGGCTTCTCTGAGGAGGTGTGCAGATTGTAAGAAAAGCTCCAGGACTCAGCAGAGTCCTCCCCATCCCCAGCCATCACATACTCAAACAAACTTGTAGCCAGCATCAATAGTACAAAAGCTCACTCTCTCTGCATCTCATGCACGGTGACTTTGGCAAAGCAGACACACTTATTTCCTACCCAAAATCCCTGATCAGCTTTCTCTGATCTCAATTCCTTGGTAGAAAGTCCATAAGAGTGGGAGGGTGGTAGTACATCTTGTTTTAAAGCAACCACTTTTACATCTCATGCTGTGCATATTAAAACTCATGATATTTGATAGTCAAAAGTTGATTCCAATGCCTTACCACAAGGATTTCCTAATGTGCTCTGACAGATTTCCTCTGTCTCTTTTTCTCTTTCTCTTTCTCTCTTCTTCACTGCTTTTTTTGACTCTCACACATATGTGCTTTCTACTGGCAAGCTCTCAGTCAGTCAGCTGGTTGGTTGGGTTGGCTTTTCGATAGAGAAGACTCAGTCCAAGGAAAAACATCTTTAAATGGAATACTTTGAGATTTACCCTTCATTATATTCAGAGACTACTCAGAGTTTCAGTGGCCAGGAGGTAGCTAAACTGTTTTTTGCTGTCTCTTGCACTAATCAGGCATTGTTTAATTTTCATCTAACGAAGGCCAGTTCTCTACTACCCCTAAAAAAATGACATTTCCCTGTACCCAGAGGCCGTAGAGCACATTTTGTTGCAATTAAATATTACTAGAACCTGTCCAGAGAAGGACCACAAAGCCAGTGAAGGTCTGGAGCATCAGTCTTATGGGGTTGTTTAGCCAGGAGAAAAGGAGGTTTGGGGAGACCTTTTCAATCTCTACAGCCGCCTTACAGAAGGGTGTAGCCAGGTGAGGCTGGTCTCTTCTCCCAGACAGCCAGCAAAAGGGAAAAGGGAAATTACCTCAAATTATGCTAGGGGAGGTTTAGATGGTATGTTTGGAAAAAATTCTTCACTAAAAGGGTGTTCAAGCACTGGAACAAAGGAAATGGTGGAATCACTGTCCCTGGAAGTGTTCAAAAGACATGTAGGTGTTTAGGGACATGGTATAGTAGTGGTCCTGACAATGTTAGGAAATGATTTGACTCGATGATCTTAGCAGTCTGTTCCAACCTAAATGATTTTGTGATTCTATATCTGCACATTTCTCTATAAATACATCTATCTTATATAATAAATATAGAGTGTGTACAAATGCACATATATATTCTTTGTATATATGCATGTGTATATATATATATGTGATCAAAAACAAGCACGGAGGCCTAACATAGGAGCTATACAGTGGGTTTCACTTTGCCAGCCCACTTTGCCATAGAAAAGTGAATAATTTACATATTGCTATAGAATGTAATAAATCATGCTGCTTCTCACCTTCTTACATGGAATAACTCCCAAACTGGATGGAGACCTTGATTTTTGAAACTCTGTTCTCTTCCCATTCAGTAAAGCTTACAATACTTTCTTTCACAGCATCCTTCTGGACAAAATGTCAGGCATGCAGCTGGATAAACACATCAAGCCATGGGTTGAGCAACTGGCTCACCAGTCAGGGATGAAGGGTTATAGGGAATGGGGTGACATCGGACTGGTGACCTGTCACTGATGGGTCTCCCACAGGGCTCCATCCTCAGCCCTATGTTCTTCAACATCTTCATAAATTACTTGGATGCAGGACTGGAAGGGACATTAAGCAAAGTCACAGATTTGTGACTGGGAGAAGCTGTTGATTTCTTTGAGGGCAAGGAGGCCCAGAAGAGAGACCTTGACAAATCAGAGGACTGGGCAATCACCAACCACACGAATTTCAGTGAGGGAAAGTGCTGGATTCTGCCCCTGGCATGGATACATGGACAGACTGGGCAATGAGATGCTGGAAAGCAGTGCTGTGGAAAGGGACCTGGGGGTCCTGGTCGATGGCAAGTGGAACATGAGTCAGCAGTGCCCTGGCAGCCAGGAGGGCCAGTGGTGTCCTGGGGGGCACCAGGCTCAGCGTTGCCAGCTGGGCAAGGGAGGGGATTGTCCTGCTCTGCTCTGCTCTGCTCTGGGGTGGCCTCACCTTGAGTGCTGGGGGCAGTTCTGGGTGCCACAATATAGAAAGATATTAAAGTATTGGAGAACATCTAAAGAAGGACAACAAAGATAGTGAAGGGCCTTGAGGTGAAGCCGTATAAGGAGTAGCTGAAGTCACTTGGTCTGGTCAGCCTGGAGGAGACTGAGGGGAGACCCCATTGCAGTTACAGCTTCCTCATAAGGGGCAAAGGAGGGGCACACACTGATCTCTTCCGTCTGGTGAGAAGCACAGGACCTGAGGGAATGGCATAAAGTTGTATCAAGGAAGATTTAGGTTGGATATTAGGAAAAGGTTCCTCACCCAGAGGGTGGTTGGGCACTGGAACAGGCTCCCTAGGGAAGTGAGCACCAATCCTGACAGAGCTCAGAAGTGTTTGGACAATGCTCTCAGGCACAGGGTGTGACTCTTGGGGATGGTCCTGTGCAGAGCTTTGATGATTCTTTGTGGGTCCCTTCCAACTCAGCATAGTCAGAGATTCTGTGAAAACAAACTGACAGCACTTTGTGGCTGGTCATTCTTGATCCCAGTCTGAAGGCAAGGCAACTCTACAAAAACAGGACAACACGGGCAAGTGAGAAATGGCACTAACCAGGGGCCAGGTCAGGGTCCCCCACTCTGCAACTGCCATATGGCAGGAGAACAAATCCACAGCTTGTCTCAGATGCACTTATTTAATATTTTTCTCTCTTTCAGACTGAAAGCAAAAGAGGGAGGTAAAAACTCACTTAGATGTCCCAAGTCCTACATACTCCCCTTTCCTTTCCCCAGCTTTCTAGTTTTATCATTATGATGAAACAATGACAATGATTTTAGACATTTGTAATTCATAGTCATGGACAACAAAATCTTAATCCAAAACAACTTCTACTCACCATCAGGGATTGTTCAAGGTTTGGTTTGGAGGCAGTAGTCTGACTACATTTTTACCTAAAATACACTTTGTACATTGTCCATTGAAAAACAACAAAAGGAAATAAATACCTGTCAGAAGAACATTTTGGTGTAGGACATGTAAATATATAAACTAGCAAGCTGTGTGCTTGGCTCTCTGTTTTCCCCTACCTCCCTTCTTAGCAAAAGGAAAAGCAAGAGTGGCACCCTTAGGTCACATCCATCACATCAATCCTTTTTAAATATGAGGACCTGGTCATCATTTGACTGGTGAGATGTTGCCAGGTACCGGCAGCATAAAGACATGGTGATATTGCAGTGTAAATTCACATCACGCTTCTCTTCTCCAAGCTGGACTGCAGGTAGCAAATATCCTGGGTGCAACAGTGCAGCAGTTTGTATTTCCTAGCTGGTAATAACACAATCTGGACCACAGTGTGAGCTTATTTACATGGGTGTCAGCCCAGAGTAGCCTCTTGGTGCCAGTGGATTTATGCAAGATTTACAGCCCCGCAACCAAGAGCAGAATTTGGCCCTAAATTATGATGCAGTTAAAGACCCCATGTTTCTGCATTGTGGAGCATTGTTTACACCCACATGAAATGGCTCGTAAAATGCCATTGCACTGATTTGTTGGAGTGTTAGGCTCAATTTGCTCAGGTGTAAATAACTACCCGGTGGGTGGCATAATATTTGCATCCTGTAGCTTAAGGCGTTGCTGTCTGCAGCAAATCAGTCAGGCTTCAGGCTCCAGTATCCTCCTGGGAGCAGGATGGATCTTCTGGCCTGCAGAAAGTGATGCAATAGCAGATTGCTAATGAGTGGGAGTTCATGGGGCATGACATACGTAGGATAAAATTGGACTATCTTGTGTATACTTTCATTATTTTCTGCAGCTGAAGTCTCGTGTCCTGATGACTCCTTTGGCAATCTCTCCTCCGAGAAGCACGCCAGAGCCGGACATTAGCTCAATCCCCCAGGATGCAGCTACGGTACCCAACTCGGACACCCCACAGGCTCTCACAGGTACTCAGCCTCAAGTGCTCCTCGACCAAGGGGTGAGCAGGAGCCACGGGCTGAGAGCCAGATGTCACAGCCAGATGCTGGGCTTTCCAGAACGGGGGGAGCTCATGAAAATGGGGTGTTTGCAGATTAGTCTAGCGACCAGTGACAATGAGCAGAGTTATCCTGCAAGATTGTATTTTGACTGTCATGCATCGAGTTTAATGGAGATGTCAGTCCCATTCCTCTTGAAATGTGAACATCAGAACCCCATGAATGCTCCATTTTATCCCTAACACTTTCACCCCATCCAATATGTTGCAGTGACCAGCCTAAATCCCTGTGTGAACATGAAACATCTGTTACAGCTGTGGGGAGAAGAACGGAGGAGCTGTGGTCTGACTGTAGGCAGGGCTACCAGCACAAAAACCCCAATGCCTTATCACAGCAGCAGGCATGGTCATTTCCAAATGTAGTCAGAAAACACAGCCTTACTCCTTCTTTTTGTTTATATTACCAGAAGTAACATAGGTCAAGGCTTTTAAACTGATGTAAATGAGAAGAAAATCAACAAGACAGCTGATTTACCCTGAGATTTCAGCAGAGAAATGGATTAGATAACATTAGAATCTAAACACAACACATAAATCCCATTATTTCTTAGCTGGGATGCACAGAGGAGAAGTTTTCCATCTGCTCTGGTGGCAGAGTGATACTAAACCCAGCAACAATGACAATAATATATTTTATTCTCATTTATCCCTTCACATGCAAAGTCTGCAAAGCACTTGGCAAACAGCAGCTGAGTGGCTGGAAGTGCCCTGAGAGGTTGTGCCCAGGGCTGCTTTTGGAGCGGGACAGGGAGGCACAGCCCACCAGCCCTGCCAGACCACCAGGGTGGCTGCAAAGGCAGGGGCTCAGTGGGTCATTTCAGGCAGTGCCCCACACCTCTGCCTGCCCATCCTCATGCCACTGGCACCTTTCCTCCCAGCACCCTCCCAACAGAGCGTGCAGGTTCCCACCAGAGCGGGGCTGGCAGGAGGTGAAGGGAAGCTCAAGCCAGCTTTCACCTCCCTCTCTGCTTCAGAAGGACTGCAGGGACCCTGGCTCCACAGTGGGGGACTCAGCACATTGCCTGCAAGCTGCAGAGTCCCTCCCACAGCTGAGCCCTGACAAAACCCGTGGATTGTCACGCAGAAGCCGCATTTTGCAGATTTGTCAAGGTGTGGCACTCTGGGAAAGCTGCACTCTGACATCCCCTTGCAATTCCTGCATGCCACTGCTGTGTTTTCAGTGCACTATCCCTTTGTTTGTTTGGCACTTGGAAGGTGTGAAGCAGTATAATGATAAGTATGATTGCTATTATCCTCCTGTTTATCCTGGATGTACTGCTTGAGCCCCTTCTGCTGGTCCCTGCAAGATGGGGGAGCAGAGTGCACTGTGACAGTTGCACTAGATTTTCATTATGGTGATGCAAACTGTAAATTATTTCCAACTTTACACAGCTGTCATCATGTCCTCCACTCTGCTTGATGGGGTTTTTTTGTCACATATCTGATTTCTGTCAGAAGATAATGTTATATTGTTTGAGAGATGACAGCTCGAGCACACTCAGCCAGCTATTATAATATGTCTCACTTTAGCCTGACTTTAGGCTGTGTTTTAGTCGCCCTTAGTTACCCAGTGCTATCCCTGCTTCCCCCGAGATGCAGTTAGCCTCAGCCAAGCTTAAAATAAGTTCATGGTTGTGAGGAGAACACTCACTTTTTTGGCTATTGCTGGCAGGCCTGATGGCATGTAGAGAAACTGCCTTTGCAGCTGATGAGAGGAGGCATGCAGGGCTTGGTTGTGGAGAGGCTGGGGCAGACTCCCCCAGGGACCCCTGAGCAGCACAGTCACGTTGTTGCAGTCCCAAAATGTACCACTGCATGCCATGTATAGTTTCCCTCAACTTGATGCAGTTTGTAGAGTTGGACATGGAGGGTTGGGAAACTCCCAAAGACCAGATTTCTGCCATGGCACTGTGCAGCATAACCCTCCAGAAATTACAGCTGCGTTTGAAGAAGCAAGGCTCCAAAGTCTTTCCAAAAGTCATCTCAGAGCAGTGCTTCTCACAGCAGCTCTCAGTGAACCACTCTAAAAACAGAGGGAAAAAAATAAACAATCTGAAAGCACACATCAGGCTGGCATTCCCTCCTTGCTGTGAAGTCACTGCTGGTACCACCATTCTGCACTCCCAGCACATTTTCCTGGTCACAAGTTGCATGGACAAAGTGAACTCAAGACAGCAGACCCCAGGCACATATAGGAGCTTTTTTAGATGTGTGTAGCTTACCCTAGCCTGTGACACTGAGCTAGATCTAAACTCAGCTTGCTTTGCTCTGGCAATGGGTCATTAGCACAAGGAAGTGTGGCTCTGCCATCACAAGTGGCAACAATTCACCAGTTCAGTGAAGGAAGAACTTGAATGAAAATGTAGAATGCTAGCATTTCCCACGATGCTCCCAGGACTGTTTTGTAATAACCTTTTTGGGATTTAATGTCTACAGTCTGCATTTATGTCAACAAGCAAGCAAACCTGGGGCCGTACCTGGACAGAAAGAAGGTGCAGCAGCTGCCGGAGCACTTTGGCCCCGAGCGGCCGGCGGTGGCCCTGCAGCAAGCAGTGCAAGCCTGCATCGACTGTGCCCTCCAGCCAAAGGTGGTCTTCTCCCTCATCAGGCAGGGCTACGGAGGAGAGATGGTGTCAGGTAAGAGGTTTGTGGACAGCAGGGAAGTGCTTGAAGGCTTAATATCTTCCCTAATACTAATTGGCCTGGATGTCCCGTTCCCATCAGTGGGATGGTAACCAGCTTTGGATATCAGCTATGCCTTTGTAAAATGAGCTGCTGCAGGAATCCCCTTGGAGTGAGATGAAAGAATGTTGGTAAGGGGCATTGCACTGGTGATTCAGGCGAGGAATGTGCACTCCAGAGTCTGCCTCTTGCCACTCCTTGGAGCAGTGCTGAGGCCAGGGCTGAGAGCTGTTTGCATGCAGCTGGTCAAGCACGGGCAGCAACGCCAGCCCGCTTCATGACACACATTGCCACACAAGTACACATGCATGCGTCGTGTGATGAGGGTGGCAGAACTCTGGAACAGGTTGCCCAGAGATGTGATGGATGCCTCAAACTCAGATATATACAAGGTCAGGTTGGGTGGGTATAGGAGCAACCTGAGCTAGCTGAAGGTGTCCTTGGACTAAGTGACCTGTAAAGGTCCCTTCCAGCCAAAATCTTTCTATAACTCGATGATTCTGTGTGTCACAAAAGGACAACTTTAATGGAGTTTAGCTGTTGGTGTGTCCCCTGTAGTTCATGGGCCAAACCTGCTCTCTGCTGCAGGAATTGCAAAAGTCCCACGGCAATTTCCCGTGCAGCAGGACTGCACACAGTCTGCATAAATATATCAGAGGGAATCAAAGACCAAGGGGAGCTTCCTAGCAGCTCCCTCATCTTCCCACTTCTTGCTGTGTCTTGATGAACCTCCCACGTCCCACAATGAATCCCCTGACTGGTTCTCAGTGTGAATGTGAACTTTTCTTCTATCACAGCAAGAGTTTTGTGTCACAACATTTTTTTGACATATGGGGATGCAGTGGGAATGAAACAATGATGGGAATATGGGAACAGCACTCTCCAATGAGCTGCTGCAGATGAGTCAGGCACAAACACAAAGCCAAGGATTGCAAGTCCAATCAGTTTTGCAGGGACTGCAGATGCTCAGCTGTGCCACTGGGACCTTCTTGTGTGGGAGCCCAAGCTCTGGCCCTCTGTGCAGCATATAAATCTTGCTTCTTCCCTCTCCTCAAGTTCTCTGTAATCACAGGTGTGCCTTCCCTAAGGGACACCAAAAATACTCTGAGAATGATCCAGACTTGTTCACAGAAACACAAGACTGAATCAATTCAGTGCAAAGTTTCATTTTTGCCTAGTTCTGTGCTGCATATATGATTTTCATTACAATCAGGAGAGTCGTATTATGCACCAAGCCTGCCAAAATCCTTGGTCTCAGCTCCTCTGAGCTGGCTCAGCTTCAGCTTCACCTGAACTAAAAGCACCTGGTCAACATTTCTCCCAATTTCATGGTTCTTCTAGTCATCAAAGAGGGGTGAATGGCCTCCTAGTCACAGTGTGGCTCTGCAATTGCACCTCACTCCCAATGGTGCAGATGAGTTTTGTCAGGGACTTTCCAGTCTTCCCATGGCTTGGCTCACAGATGCTCAGCCAGCTGTGGAGCATGATCCCTCTCAGCAGCTCAGACCAACAGGAAATCTCTGAAGTTATCCCTGAAATTATAAGTCTAATGTTGCAATTTTTTCTTGTTAGTAGTGATGGGAGCTAAACTATAGAATTGGGAAAGAACTTTCCAGGTGGAAGACTTCAGGCAGCCATATCATGCTGTCCTCCCTACAAACCTGCTGAAATAAAATGTGTCTTGCTACAACTGATCCTGGTGGGTCTGTTTTGACCCCTCCACCCCTCCCATGGCTGGGACCTTATGCCCTTTTTTTGATTCCTGGCTAGGTATGCCCCCTGACCAGTTTAGGCAGGAATTTTAATTGTCCTGCTCTTACCCATAGATGTATTTCTAAGAGAGCCACCCTCATCCTGCTAGGCTGAAATACATGGTTCCTTTCAGGTGAGGAAGATCACTGCACCAGTGAAAGGAGTGCAGGTTTCTTGCCACAGTCCCACATAGCAGGACGGTGGTGGCTGCAGTGCCACAGGGAAAATTTCTGTTCCCCAAACATCAGTGCAGTCTGCCCGTGCACTTCTGCAAGTGTGAATTCACCCCTCTTCAGCCTGTATGACCAGAATGATGCCCATCCATCCATCTCAGGTTTCTCCAGAACTTTGTATAGGGGCTTTAACACTCCATTTTCTCTCCTGGAAATGTTTTGTTCCACACCTTCTGGAAATATATCTGAGTTTTTCATGACTGTGTCACCTTGCTGTTTTATGGGCATCTGGTAAGCTTGCATTATCATTTCTTGTCCCACCAGGTTGTTTTGAGCCCCTTTAAAGCGTTACAAATTTCTAAACATTTTATATGTTTATTTCCAGATTGTTTTCCACTCATTTTTACTAAATCAAAAGTCAAAATCAGTTGACACTTTCTGTGCAATTTCCCAGGCCTCTTCTCCATTGATGGTGTCTGCCAGATTACAGCATCCACAAAATCTCTTTGTGCAGCACAGACTGCTGCTGGTTTCTCTCTGGGATTTGGGGTCTCCTGCCAGCAGACCCTGTTGCCATTCCTTGACCCACCTCTCGTATGCAACCATTTCCAATTTAATACAAGATTTCTCATACTTTACTGAATTCTGGATGGACCATAGCTGCCAACATTCCCTTGCCTATAAATGCAGTTAACTCAGTAAATAAAGATCAACAATAAAGCTGTTACTTCTCTCTTCAGTACAATCCTGGTGCCTTTCCTTCATTCACAACCATGCCTTTAATTCTTATCTCCCCATTATCTTTTAAAACCATGGGTACTGCTGAAGTCAGCTTACCCTTCACTATTGGTGATCACTGCACATCACATTCTCTCCCCTTCCTTAGACCAGGGTATCATGATTGCCTCATTCTAATCACACAATACAATTTTCAGGTGGATGCATATACTAGAAAACCTTGCACGGCTGGCCATGCTAGTCAGCATCTTTCAGCTCTTGAGGGGGAAGGTGATCTGGGTCACACAAACTCAGCTCCTTAAGCTCCTCCAGTTTGTAGTGTGACTCAGGTAGGGTAATTTTGCAAAATATTTTAAGACATGCAAATACTCGAATAAAATTATTTCCCCTGCTCTCATTCTGCCATGCATCCACAGGCATTGAATTGCTCCTGCTTTGCTTTCCAGTTTCAGCTTCTTTTGAGGGGAAGCAGCATCTCCAGAGCCTGCTGGTCGTGAACAGCATCGGGTACGTCCTGCGCTTCCTGAAGAAGCTGTGTCGCAGCCTGCTGTGTGACAACCTCTTCAGCAACCAGCCGTTCCAGCAGCGCGGCAGCGCCGTGCCGGAGAGCCCGCAGCGCTCTGAAAACGGGCGGGGCGAGGCAGGTAGGCTGCTTCATCACCTGCATCAGGATGTAATCCAGCTGAAGAAATGACTGTCTCCTTTTGGTTCTGTGCTCTGCGTGATAGGGAACTGCAGGCCTCTGTGGGACCCTTCCAGAGGGAGGCAGTGAGCTTTCTTGTGGAATTTTCCCAGTGGCTGCAGAGGAGGTGTTTGGGTGAGAACCACCGTGTTGAGGTGTCCCAGCAGAGAAATTCTGGGCCAGCACATTATGGTAGCACAAATCTAAGGTACATATTATCAGCTGTAGCTCAGACAGCCTGGATCCCAATCTGCCACTTCCACCCGTGAGTATAAACCTAAATTACTGTGTCTGCTGAGTTGTTTGCTTTGCTACTTGCAGGGATGTTTCTCCTGGCTTAAAACCCTCTGGGACCAGCAGGGTCCCTGTCTCAGTGCTTGGGCATGTGGGGCAAAGCCTGGAGGAGCTGTGGCATGAGGCAGATGCATCCAAGGATGGTGGTGGTCCTGAGGGGCACCTGCACCTGAGGGTGCTCCATCCCTGGAAGTGCTCAAGACCAGGTTGGATTGAGGCACTGAGGCTATGTTTAATGCTGCATTGCCAAAATCTCCTTCCCTGCACCCAGGAGCCATCATTTCTCTGCAGCAAGTTCTGAGCTCCCAGATGGATAGAATTGCTGAGCTTCCTTCTCATTCATATTCTGGGACAGTGTGCTGGCCCCACAGCCCCCACAGAGCTGGGACATGCCTGCATCCTCATCCACAATCAGAGGCTGGAGAGCTGCCCTGGAGCTTTACTATGGCATTGCAAAAGCTAGTTTAGAAAAAAGGGAAGATGTAAATTATGGGCATGAGCCTTCATTTCACCTGCAGTCTTTCTCCTGACTTAAATAATTTTTCCTTTTCTTTCATTAACAACACTGTGGGTGTTTGGGGAGGACACTGTCTCTCACACATTCAATTTAATGGCAGATTAAATGGCTGGCAGATGAGAGAAGGATGTTTTAGTGTCCACAATCACGATTTTTGAATCACCTGTTCACCAAGAATACCCTCAGTGAGGCTTTGCACACCAGAATGGGAGAGGGCTGTGCACACAGTGCAGAAATCATCTTTTTGTACAAAGAAATCCAACTGCCACTCTTACACACAGGGGAAGAAAGGCAGGAGCCCAGACTGTAAAGCAGTATTTTTCTTTCCTCTCCACTAGGACATTTGCAGCAAGCTGAATGCTTCTGAGAGGTCAAGGGATTTCTGCAGCACCGAGGAGTGCAGCCCAGGAGGCCTGGCATTTGCGTTTGCATCTGCATTTTAATTTGCATGTACATTTGCATTTACTTTCTCACGGCAGGGCTGTGTGTGAGAGAAGGCAATTCCACGGCCAGAGTTTCTACAGTTGCTCTTACACTCTGAGCATCTCCACCCCCACAAAATTCCAATGGAAATGCCTCTGACAACACCATCCTCACTGGATCTCCCCAGACACTGAAGATGGGCAAAACATTCTTTTTCCCTCAGACTAGACAAGAGATGTGGGTGTAGGCAAAGCTTCTTTTCTGGGTCTCCCGCTGTGGGGTGGGGTTTGTGTGTGCAAACAACAGCCCCCCCAGAAGCAGCATGGGCTGGGCTAGTCAGGTAGGTTTAGATTAGCCACGAGGAAGAAATTCTCTACTGTGAGAGTGGTGAGGGCCTGAATCAGGTGGCCTGGAGAAGCTGTGGCTGCTCCATCCCTGGAAGTGTACAGGGCAGGTTGGATTGAGGCACTGAGGCTATGTTTAATGCTGCATTGCCAAAATCTCCTTCCACTCCACCAGGAGCCAGCATTTCCTGCAGCATGGTCAGCATGGGGGTTCCTGTGCTGCACAGAGCAGAGACAGGGCTTCCCCACAGTGCAGTCACAAGGAGGGCCAGAGATAAGCAGGAGCTCTGCTGCAGACAGGTCTGTGGGGGCACCTGCTGGGATAAAGCTCTCAGGGAAGGAGCAGGGCCATAAAAACACACCACAGGAAGCCACGCAAAGCAGCCACATTTTTCATTGCTCCTGTTCCCCATCTTGTAATCGAGATGTCCTTTCTTTTAAAATCATGTGCTTTTCAGCCCCTTTGCACCAATGAATCTAATCCATGTATTGACTTTGGTGCAGTTACTCTTGATTTACACCATCAGGAGGGAGAGGAGAAGCCTGCATCGTGTCCAGTCATATTAATCCACTTACCCCACACAGGAGTCACCTCTTAACCTTGCCCCAAAGCACATGGCCCTAAGCCATAACTCACCTGTGCTCACAGCAAGCTGCCAGATGCTAATGGCTGTGTACACGCCAGGTGGGATTTGTTGACATATGCATATATCACTTACAACTATGTTTTACATGCCAAGGAAGTACACACTCATCAGGCTGTGCCTAGAGCTGGCCTCTGCAGTGAGCCTTGCTGGCTGTGCAGTGCCCTCCCTGCACCTGAGCCCCACGCTCTGCCAGCCTTGCCAAGGCCCCTCACCTGTCTCATCCCTCACATGGGACTTTCCCCAGGGCTCTTTCTCAGCTGCGAAGGGACTGTCTGGCTCATGAGAGTGATTTGTGAGGAGCAGCTGTGGGATGAGTCCCAGGCCTCCTGGGAAATGCCCAGCTTCAGGTCTGCATTACAGCAAATGCTGAGATGTTACCTGTCACCACAACACCTGGCTTCGAAGAACCTCTGGACCTACACCCCAAAATTTTCCATGGGAGCAGCAGAACAGTTTGAGCTAAAATGATGGCAGGACCTGGGTGGCCTGTGCAGGAAACCCTGTGAAGTGGGGCAGGGGCTAAATGATGGGAAGCCAGCAGAGATCCTGTAAAGTGTCTCCACTCTGTGTTCAGATTTCATCATTTGTCTCATGCTCATCTAATGGAGGTTTGGATAGGAGCCTGTGAAAGGTACATTTCTAGGACACCTACACACTGTGGACATGCACCTATGAGATATCAGATTATTCTTCAGAGGAAACCATGTTTGCTAAAAAAATTCTGGTGAAACAGATGGTGGGCACAGAAATGGAAGAAGTTTCTTTTATGTGGGAAGCATTAAGTTTGATAAACATCTGCTTTGCCTTTCAGCCAATCCTTTCCTTGCTCCCTCTGTCCCAAACCTTGGGTCTTGGCTATTTTGTGCTGTTAGACAGTTGATGTCTCCACACAGAGCACGGCTGCATGTGGCTGCAGCAAAACTTTATGCAACAACTTTGGTAGCCACACTGTATTATTCTTATTATGGGGGAAGACAGGAAGGTCTGTGAATAAGGTCCCCAGCCTTGCTGTTCTCCCCATGTCCAAGTCAATTTTAGAACAATATGGAGTTCCCTACCACTATCTGCAGGAGAACAGCTTCTCTTTTTGTGGCACTGTCTGGAAGCAGGGATCTATATGGAGCAGAAGCACAGCAGGATGCTAGTGCCTCTGTCTGCAGGAAGGTGGGCTCTTCCTATCCACAAGCCCTTGAAAAGCTGGTAGGACAAGCACAATAGCAATGCACAATAGGAGTGTGAGTAAGTAGGCAAGACACTGGCCTGGGAACTGGATTTTGATAAGAGACTTTGCTATTGACTGTATGGGCAAGCCACTCTTCCCTCCTGTGCCTTTATTTGAGTATGTGTCAAAGGAGGGCAATAATTCTTGCCAACATGTGCAAAGCCCTTCTAAAGCAGCTAGGAAAAAAGGAATAATATGATACAAAACCACATATTATTACAATCAATATTTTCTGTTGCAAGCACCAAATAAACAGCAGCTCAGAAGTTTCAGGCTGTGAGAGGGTAAGAAAAATGCTGTCTTTCCCCTTTCTACTACCATGGCTTGTTTAATCTTGTCTTGTTGCATGCTATGAGGAACACAGCAGCAGTGCTCCTGGCTTCTCAGCACACTCAGAATAAATGGCTTTTATGGCTATCAATAGCTTCAGTGCTCCTCAGCATTTAATTACCTGCAAAGGCCATTTATTGCCTCATATATTCCTCTACCATGATCATTATCCTTTAAACAATAAATAAAACATTAAGGTCACTCTTAAAGAGGGAGCAGAGACATCCAGCCACAACAAAGTATAATATAAAAAGTTTATATGGTCTTTGGGGCTTTTGGATTGACGGCAGAGCCTGTAGTGCAGTTGAGAAAGGCTGGGATAGCCTTCCTTCCTTCCTTCCTTCCTTCCTTCCTTCCTTCCTTCCTTCCTTCCTTCCTCCCCACCTGACACAACTGGCCACAGGACAAAGCATCCAAGCAAGGACGCAGGTGCTGAGGTCCTGCTTGCAGCTGGAGCACCATCCCAAGGACTGGCTTCCTGAAAGGAGGTGTGCAGGGTGGTAACTCTGTGGCAGAGCTAAGGAGAGGCAGCTGGAGCTGCATATTGCAGCCCAGAGGAGGGACAGGAACAGTTTAGGATGGTCCAAAGGATGGGGGGGTTGAAGGAAGTAAAGGCAAGGGGTTGAAAGAAAAGAGAGTCAGTCAGTGCTCCTGTGGAGGGGTTTCATGAGCATGGCAGCAAAGGCTTCAGCATTCAGACTCTTTCAGACTAGATGAGAAGAAATTAATAAAATGTACACTAAGGAGCAAATCCTGGAAGGAATAAAAATAAGAGATGGACAGAAGAGAGAAAATTCAGGTATGATGTATTTTGCCTGGACTCTATAGAATTGGGAGAATTGGATAAATTGAACTTTCTGACCTTTAAGTTGTGAGATTATTGTTTGCCAGCTCACAAATGAAGACTCTTTTCCTTTAAGTTGATGAAATTGTATCTCTTTGTGGATGCTAAGCAATGAAGCTGTAAGCAGCCATCTCTTCAGCAGCCAGCCCCAGGGAAATCCTCCTTCCGACTTGAGGGGCTGCAAGGAAGTTCATCCCTTCTGAAAAGCTACCCCTGGGAGGGCAGGCACTCTGCTCTCAGCAGTGGGTGAGGAAAAGCCCAAAGGCCTTTTTGTCCTTCAGCCCAAGATGTGCTCAGTGGCACAGACACCAACAGTGCTGGATATTGCCTGGGCTGCAGCC